AAAAAAAAAAAAAAAAAAAAAAATACGAATAAAAAAAAATTCTTCGCTTTTTTCCCCTCATTCTATCCCCAGGTATCAATGTTTTTTTCAAAATTTAAATGCAAGAGGAACATTGTCACGAGTTGGTATTATATTCAATTTCGAACGTCAAGTTTTTTTTGATTGACCGATGTGCCGAATTTTTTTTTTTTTTATTTATTTATTATTTCATCGATTGAAACATACGTGTAAATTTATCAAGTTGTTTGATCGTCGTTTCCACGAGATTTTTATGCTTTTAAATGCAATTGGATAAATATTTTTGACAATCTATCTTTTCGATATGGAATTATTTAAAAATTTATAATTCGTTATTTTTAATTCGTTTTGGAAATTTATATTCAGAGAAAAATAACGAAATCTTCCGGATTGGAATCGAAGGGAAACGATTTCATCATCGCTCGTCGATATCCACCGCTCGTTTCGTTTCCGTTCCAATAAGACACGCGCTTCCGGTCGACCGCCAATAATAGGATGCTGTGCACAAACTTTTCACTACAGCTATTTTATTTAAACTCCGGTGCACGCTTCGACGGAATGCAATTCCACGTTCCGCAAACCCGACTCTCGATGCATTAACCCGAGTAATTCAAACGTTACTGCTCGCTACGAAAGTTTTTAGCGGTGGAATCCTCTGGATAATTCACATTACTGGAACAGATTATTCCCATCTACCCTTTTCGCTATGAGAACGCATCCTATGAGAACGATAGTGGTTTTGGAAAAAAAAAAAAAGAAAAAGGAAAAAAAAACGAAGGAATCTTGTGAATAAAGTCGATTTTCCCGTTGTTTCGTGAATAAAGGAATCGTTTTGAAATCGAAATTGATTGTTTTGAGGTTAAGTAATTAGTAGTTGCACAGGAAAGGTAAATATGTATCGATAAAGGAATATTTAATGAAGAGATTCATCTCTCTTTTGATTTGCGTATTATCTGTTATTACAAAAATATATAATTATAATAAATTTGCTTGTTTTTTTTCTCCTTTCTTATTTCATTCTATTTCATTCTTTTTCTTTTTTTTTTATAAAATATAGATGCTGCATACAAATCGTATTTTTTGCTTCTTGATCATGCGAAAAGAAACATATTATATTACATAAAATATATTGCAATTTCGATATCGAATTTCGGTAGTTTCTCAATGACATGTTTTTAGTTAAATGTTATTAGTATTGTAAAGCTTATCTAAAAATAATATCCTTGTTATCGTTTTTTATCGCATCATCGATTCTATTTGTTTTTAAAAAATATATCGATCATGCAAGTTGTTAAATATTGAACAGATACATATAAAAATATATAGATATAAATGCATTTTTTTTTTCTCGTATTAGAACGAATATCGATCGATTAAAATATCAGGGTTCAGTAGAAAAGATTTTTTTCTATCGAGACTCAATTGTTACTCGCAGTTTTCTAAATTTAAGTATTTCACTTGTATCGACGTGTGTATTTCTTTTTAAATTTCTTATTCATATTATTGATATTCAATATCATATTTCACGATATAAAAGTATCGATATATGAAATATTATTTATATAAATTATGAGTAAAAATTATCGATATTAAAAAATATATTCCATTGTTGTTGCAACATTTTTGAGCAATATGAAAATGAAATTGAAAATGTGGCACAATAGATGTAACATACAACATTTCTTAATTTAAGTTTAATCCATCATCTCTACAATATTATAGAAAATATAGATTTTTAAAAAAGCAACTTATCCGAATTATAATGAATCATTTCATTTCTTCCATTCTACATTTATCTTGCAATATACATAGTAGTCAAAAGCGTTCATGATAATTATCTATAACCATCAAGAGCCATTAATAAAATATAATAATATATTGCGTATTAAAAATTATCCTGTTTCATATAACACGATATAAAATTGTTCTTAAACAATAACAATTAATAATCGAAAACTTGTTCTCTATTCTAATAATATTTAATGTTAGATCAAAGATTAAACATTGTTTATATCGTTTCTTAATAATAACTAGAATATTTATAATACTCTTATAATAACAATATAACAATTGTATCGTGCGTATATGTAAGATAGAAATATAAAACAGCTCGGCATTTTGTACACATTTGCATATATATATAATATATACGATTAAACATGTAGTATATTGTATATTATACGTAGCAAAATGTGAAGAATATAAATAGAGGATTCCAAAGCCAAGTAATATTCTCTGAAAATGATTTATGTAGTTTAAAAATTTGTTTATATTTTCAAATAGCAAATCAATTAAGTCTATATTAAATATTGTAACTAATTATTTAATTGATTTGTCGATTGAAAATTTAAATTCAAACAAGCCATACTGTGAAAAATGTAATTTATATTGATTTTCTTTCTGAATCCTTCCTTCCAAATATGCATGATCGATAATGCAAAACGTGAACGCATCAGTAAAAATTCTAACACAAAATAATATCAAAAATATGATTTATTCCATGAATATATTGCGACAGAAGTTATTCCGTCAAATTTATTATTTCTTTTTTTTTTTTTTTTTTAATCTATATAACTACAGTTGTGTCTTTATCACATTTTTGAAGTTGTTTTTTCTACGTAAAATATTCGAATCTGTTGTAATTTTTTTCACAAGTTATTAATATTTTACTTTAATCGCTGTCGACGTTCATAGGAGTATCTACAGTTTTGCTCGCATTCTTATCATTTGATACATCATTCTCTGCCGAATTCTCAGATTTCAACGTTATAATACTTTTATCGTCATCATCATTTGACGATTCTTCTTCATCGTTTCTCTTCTCTTCAGACTCTGTATGACCAGCAACAAGTCTATCCTCGCTCTCCTTCTTATCATCCGACACGTCTCCTTTCCCCTTTTGATAATCATTATTCTCATTGTTCTTGGCGCACAATACAATCACATCATCCGAATCATTGTTCTCGGTCGTACTTTTATCGTCACCTTTCATATTGACGAAATCTTTCAGCAAATTCTCCCTCGACATTTTAGGCAATTCTTCCCCTCTTTTGACAGAAATTAATCTCGCCCTTTTAGGAGGCTTACTCGTAGGTTTACTTTGCAAAGTAGTTTGTGAACAACTGGTAATAGTATAATTAGGTTTAACGGTTAATTGTTTCTTCATCTCCTCCTGGGTGATTTTTTTAGTGAACTGAGTAATCAAAGGTACGTTCTTCCTCTCTTTGTCCTTATCCTCTTTCTCTACTTTCTCAACCAATTGAGAGTTATCGTTTCTCTTCTTCTTCGGAATCAGACTGTACGACCATTGATTTGGCAATGATAGCTCCTCGTTAACGTATTTCTTCCTGATCTCCTCGTGAACGTACCAACAAGCCTTCGAATGCATCGGCCCCTCCTCTGGGCATGGCATCCATTTTCCAATGTCACGAATTTTTTGCAATAAACTTGCCTTCGAGATGTAATTATCATTTGAATCGTCCCTCTTGCCCCAATAGGTCATGAACTCTTTTACGAGGAATCCTCTGCCATGTACGTTCCCGTGTACAAGTCGAATCAGGTCCGGAATAGCCGCTTCCGGAACTCGTGTTTTCTTCGAACTGGATGGCGCTTGTTGCTGCGTAGGCGAAGGCGAAGTGCGCTCGTTAGCCGTCTCGTTCTCAGACGTGGTTGGCGTTGACAGCAAAGCTGAACACTTTTAATTTGAATAAATTATTAACATATTATATGTGGTAAAATCTCTAAAACGTGAAAAGTTTCAGAGTAAAAGTAAAAAAAAAAATAAAATTCTCATTATAAAGAACACTTCATCTAACTAATTGTAATTGATAAATTAGTAACTATAAATGTAACTGTGTAATAAATCTTCTGTGTGTGTGTTTCTCATTTCTTTCATTTCAAAGCATCTTCTTTTTTACAACAATGAATTACAACAAAAACAAATAATAATGTAATTATTTATGTGAATAAAATGAAATAATAAAATTTTATTCGAGTAACAATTCATTATAAATATGAGATGAGACAATTTTAATTGAGACAATTACCGGTATTTGACGGACCCAAGCCTCACGTGCTGTCAAGAAGTCTACAATCTTTGCTGGTACTGAAATACAAAATATATATATATATAGAATGCTTTCTTTTTACAGCTCACTGCAGTTAGCCGATTTAAAATAAATCTATACTCACCGTTTGGTGGAAAATTGTTGTCGGGCCCTCTCCAAATTATACCAATTATTTTTGGCTTCAATTTCGAAGTCTTCGTATTCCTTTCCGACTCGAATTCCTCTCCAAGTAGTTTCAATCTAACTTTTTGCGTTTCAGGGGACTATAAAAAATTAAAAAATTATTAGATCAATAAATATCTACTTTTAATTCCTTTCTCAATATTCGAATTATTATTTATTTTATATAAAATATTTACCATGTCTTCCTTATCTTCTTCGTCTGCGCGAAGCTCTTCATCGGATAAGTACCTGAATTTAAAAGAAGAGAGAGAGAGAGAAAGAGAAAAAAAAAATTAAAAGAAAGAAAAAAAAATATTTAAACGTTATAAAAATTAACTTACCCGTGAGGTACCATGAAATCGTTATCCACATCATATTCGTTGTCCTCCGGATTCTCTTCGTCTTTTTCATCGTCCGAACCGTGCAACGATTCACCTGGTTCCTCTTCCTCCCATTCCTCGTCCGAATCAATTTCGTAATTGAAGTATTCCTGGTAGAGGAGAAAAAAAAAGAAAGAAAAAAAAAGAAAGAATATTTTTCTCGAAAAATTTCAAAATGAATTTTGAAGTTGTTGTTAAACGTTGAATGACAGATAAAAGTGAAAAAAAAAAAAAAAAAATTGATACGAAGTTGTATTATTGAAGTTATACAAATAATCTTATTAGAATGCGATTAAAGGCTCGAATCATTTTTTATCGAGCATTTTTTCCGTTGCCGATATAAAATGGCGGCTACAAGTAACATGGAAACATTTACTATCTCCAATAAATTTTTTTCCTTTTATTTTTCTCAAGTTTCGTTTGAAACTTTACGCGAAAAAAAAGAAGAGAGAGAAATCCATTTTTTTTTCTTTTTTTGTTCAAAACTATCTTTCGAGGAATCGTTTTTTTGGATAATAAAATAATAAAAAAAAAAAAAAATATGTCAAATTAAACGACGAACGGATCGTCGACAAATTAATCGTGTTTTTATTAGAATTAGAAATCGTTGGAAAAGGTATCCAACAGTGTTTTAGGTAAATATTTCAATTACGATAATGAATATTTTACTAAAGTCTAGAGATGATTAAGCAGGACGTGGGTATCAGCGCGACTTCCTTGACGGGCGATATCGTCGGCGCACGTGCTGCTCTTCTCGCCGATTTTCTCTTAGTCGCCGAGAGATACTCGCCAACGAGCCCGGTGTTCTCGAGATGCGGATGCGTTGCCGCGAAATTGCTCCTCGTTTCCGCATAACGATGAAATAAATAATAAAAAGGGGGAAAATTGGAAGAAGATCTAATTGAAGAGATAATCTCAGTGTCGTCGTATAAGAATAAAATAGAGAAGGTTCCTCCTCTTCGTTTCGTTCGTGAAATTCGTGAGTTTTTGATTTTTGCGAAGAGAAAAGAAAGAAAAAAGGGAAGAAGAAAGATTTGTGATTGAAAAAAAAAAAATGTGAATTTTATCTATCAAAACGTGAACATTTTACAGGAAATATGAAAGATTTTTTTAAAAAAAATAATAAATGTTCATCGAACGAAAAAATGAGATTTTTAAGAGGATTTAAATAAGGAATGTACAAAAGTTACGAGATTCCTTAAATTTTGTTGGATTTTTTGGATAAAGATAAAAGAAAAAGAAAGAAAGAAGGATTTCGAAAAATTTTGAAAAATTTCAAAGAAACAATTATATTTAATATAATGCAAGTTCTGATTTACGATATGTGTGAAAAAGCGAGTAACTCTGGAGAACAACTGGAAGATCCATGACGGGAGGAAGTGACTCATAGGAATGATATTTCGAATTTCATCTCTTTCCAGAAAGAAACTTCTGTGCAGCTCGGCAAACCGCAATCTCCCGCGGCTCTGTAATCGTGTAATTAATAAAAAAAAAAAAATAAAAAATCGGCGAGAATCGTTTCTCGAAGAGAAAGTTTTTTTTTTTTTTTTGTAAAAAATAATTAGAAAATTAAACTTGAAACGATCGAATAATTAATTCGTCGATTAACCAAACTCGTGACTAAACTTGGTAGCTTGTATCAGTAGCTATTTTTCATCGTTTTATTTAAAAAAGAAGAGAGAGAAAGAAAGGAAAAAAAAAAGAAAACAGTATTCTAATCCTAAATTATATTCCAAAGAAAAAAAGAAAATTTTTCGTATCTCGAAACAACAACGGAGAAAGTAAGAAATGAAAAAGTTCAAATTCGAAGGGAACGAGAAAAAACTACTCTGAACGAGAAAGAATTCGAGGGGAATAGAAATTTGTTCGTGATCGATCGAACGAGAAATCGGCGCTCGATCGATAAATCAACGTCGATTTGATAGCTGCGCGGGCATCGATCACGGGATTCCCTTCCCTTTGACATTAATTTATTAACGGGAGGAAATATAATATCGCGAATGATCGGTGGCTTCGAGGCGGAAAACCGGCGAAAAGGAGGAAGGGAGGAAGGGAGGGAAGGACGACTATCCCGTTGACCAGTTTCCGGCAACGCAGCAGAGGTAAGTGTCTTCCGAGTTGTTCGGATGTTATTTCAAGGAAATCGAAACCCTTTTCGTACTTTAATTTTCACCTCGATCCTCGATTGAAGGTAAGTAGCCATTTCGATGAAAGATATCATTCATCACGAATTATTTTCTTCTTTCTTTCGTCTTAAATGATTCTTTGCGAATTTTAAAGTAACAAAATAATGAAATGATTTTGCGAATTTTAAAGTAATAAAATTAAAGTAATAAAGTAATAAAATAATGGAAATGATGCCACCGACGTCAATAATTACTTTTTTAGGATCGTGTTTGTTCGAGTGGTTTCGATCATTTAGATAAACCGTAAAACCATATCTCGAAAAATTACGCTACCTCCGCACACGTCTCTTTCACGCTTCACGCGCGAGATCGTTCAACACTGCGAAGGAGGACTGGCGTCGGGAAAAGGCGACCTCTTTGTCGAATCGTCGAAGGCATTTTACAAGCGTTTTATCTCCGAGTAACGAATGAGAAACGAGCGCCGTTTACTTGGAAAATTTGATGTTATCCAGGGGATCAAATACGAGTTAAGAATTCATAGAAATGAATAGTAAATTTACTCTCTTATTAAATCCTTTGGATTCGATGTATAACAACGATTGGAAATATTATTATTTAATCATCAATTCTCGATAAAAGAAAAAAAAAAGTTCACGATCATTCTCATGAATTTCCAAAGTCGATTACAATTCTTTTTTCAACGTGATAATAAAATAGACGGAAAATTATATTTATGGAGATTTTAAGAGAAAATTATTAACAAAGAGGAGTAGAATAGAGAGAATACGTTCGGGTAAATTCGTCCTCCATCTGGAAATCGATGGTGTCATCTGGAGGGGGAGACAGTTTCAGGACAAAATGCAGTCATCGGTTCGAAGTTGAGGAGCAAACGTGCCTGGCAAAAGCTCCACCACGGTCACGTTATTTACGGCGTGTTGTCACCCATCGGGCCATCTGTAATGGCTGTTTTATGCCCCATTAAGATTATAGCTGGTGCATCCCGCGGTTGCACACCGGAGATTAAATCCCTGCACGTCGAATTGATTTATATCCGAAATATTCGGCTGTGTTACGAGCCCTTCCACCCTTTTTCATCACCAATCTTTATACTTGGCCAATGCTTTTAATTTTATTTAGTCGTTACATCGATTTGTCATTTAATAACGCGATATCGATTAATCCATGTGATTTAATTAATTTCTATAAAGAATGACAATTTTATTTGCCAATCAATTTTTTATTTCAATAATTTTTTTATTCAGTTTGGTAAATATAAATTATTTAGAAAGACATATGAATAATATATATATATATATATATATTATATAATATAAATATAATAATATAATATATAATATATAATAAATATAATAATATAATATAATATAATAATATATAATAATATAATAATATATAATATAAATAATATAAATAAATAATGAGAATTGAATTAGAAATTTGTTCAAAGGAGAGGATAACAAATTTTTTAAGTTAAAGTCTCCAAGTTTTTATTTAGTCCTTATATCGATTTGTCATTTAATAACGCGATATCGATTAATCCATGTGATTTAATTAATTTCTATGAAGAATGACAATTTTATTTGCCAATAAATTTTTATTTCAATAATTTTTTTACTCAGTTTGGTAAATATAAATTATTTAGAAAGACATATGAATAAATAATGAGGATTGAATTAGAAATTTGTTCAAAGGAGAGGATAACAAATTTTTTAAGTTAAAGTCTCCAAGTTTTTATTTAGTCCTTATATCGATTTGTCATTTAATAACGCGATTAATCGATTAATCTCCCTTGCTTGTGATTTAATTAAGCTTAATTTCTATGAAGAATGACAATCTTTATTCGCCAATCAACTTTTTATTTCAATTTTTATTCAATTTTTTATTTTAATTTTTTTATTCAGTTTGGAATATAAATTATTTAGAAAGAATATAATTTATTATTTATTTATTTATTTAATAGAATATAAATTATTTAGAATATGACAAATAACGATGAGAATTGGAGGATTGGATTAGAAATTTGTTCAAAGGAGAGGATAACAAATTTTTTAAATTAAACTCTCCAAGTTTTTATTTAGTCGATTTTAGTCATTTAATAACGCGATTAATCGATTAATCCTCCTTGCTTCTGATTTAATTAAGCTTAATTTCTATGAAGAATGACAATCTTTACTCGCCAATCAATTTTTTATTTCAATAATTTTTTTATTCAATTTGAAATATAAATTATTTAGAAAGAATATAAATTTATTATTTATTTATTTATTTAATAGAATATAAATTATTATAGAATATGACAAATAACGATGAGGATTGAATTAGAAATTTGTTCAAAGGAGAGGATAAAAAATTCTTTAAATAAAAGTAAAATTCTTTAAAAGTTTTTATACGAATTATAAATTATAAAAAATGGTAAAACCGACGCTGTTTCTTTTTGGAATAATTAATTAGATGACGATTGGATATGTTTCAACAAATGAGATTGATAATTTTTTTTTTCTCTCTCTCCATAGAGACGATATTAATTTCTATTCACGTGATTTCGAACGTTTCGCTGCAATGACGTTGATATATTATATCTCGCGTTTAAAATTAGATCACGGACACTTCGACAAATTAAACAGATGACTTTTCCTCCACGCATGATTTTGTTCACCAAATTTCACTTCACGCTTAGAAATAAAATAAAAGACGAAAAATCTAAAAAAGAAAGAAAAATGATTTCAATCGAAAGTCAATTTAAATCTACTCGAACTACGTAAAAGTATGCGAATCGAGGATACGTACAGGGTGTCGAGAAATTATTTATCACAGCTCTGAGATCGATTGAGAGAGTGTTAAAAAAAATTGGATGATAAAATTAAAATTAAAATTAAAATTTAATAATAAAAATAAAATTAAAATTTTTGCAAATTTTTATCTTCAAAAATTAAATTTCTTTTTATCATCGTCTCTAGAAGAAG